AGGGATGTCACATACTAAAGAAACTTAAGAAATATGTCACACAATATGCAGAACTTGTTTTTAGATCCTGATTCAAACAAAAGAATTATAAAGACATAATTCCTCAAGTAATTGGAAAAAGTACAAAGTAAATCCAGAACTAGCAGAAGATGTGAAATGAAAGATTAGAACAGAGATAAAATGGGAATAGAAAAAAACAGTAGACTATAAACCAAGAGTTGGAATTTTGAAAAAGATTTGACCTTTGGCTAAATTAACTATGAAAAAAGAGAATACTCAGATAACTAAAGCCAAAAGTGAGAGGGGAGATTACAACTGATGTCACAGAAATAAAAAGGTAGAAGACGTTACAGTTTGTGTCTAGATGTCCCCACAAAGTATCATCTAATCATAGGTGAGGCTTTCAGAGGTGGCTGAATCTAGAGTGTGTGGTGCTGGGATTAAGGGTCTGTGATTACTAAATCAGTTCACTGATTGGTTTAGCATCACCCTAATCTCTGTGGCCTAGATAGAGTATAAAAGGGGCAGAAAAAAGCTGGTAAGGTCCCTCACTTGCTTTGCTACCTTCTGCCCACCATGAGCTGTTTCTCCTCTGTGATGCCCCTCTGCCATGTCACCTGCCTTGGAGCCAGCCAACTATGGACTCAAACTTCTAGAAACTGTGAGCCAAATAAACCTTTCCTCCCTTAACTTTGGGTGTCGGGTATTTTGTCTTAGCAATGAGAAAAGTAACTAAGAAGAGAATACCATGAACAACTCTATGCTAAATGACTGAATCATGAAGAAACAGAAAATCTTAACACATCAATAACTAGGAAGGAGATTAAATCATTAGTCAAAACCTCAAAGAGGGGCTGAGGATTTAGCTCAGTGGCACTGCGCCTGCCTCGAAAGCACAAGGTCATGAGTTCGATCCCCAGTATTAAAAAAAACCTCAAAGAAAAACTCAGGAACAGGTATGGTGGCACATGTCTGTAATCACAGCACCTTGGGAGGGTAAGGTAGAAGGATCACAAGTTCAAGTCCTGCCTAGCCAACTCAGCAAGACCCTGTCTCAAAAATTAAAAATGTAATACAAAAAGATGTAGCTCAAAGGTAGAGTGCTCCGGCATTTGATCTCCTGGCACACACAAGAAAGAAAGAGAAGGCTGGCCCATCCAGGATCAAATGACTTCACAGGGAAATTCTACTAATCATTCAAATAAGAGTAACTCCAGGGTGCCAGGGATTTAGCTCACTGGTTCTGCCGCCTGCCTCACAAGCGAAAGGTCCTAAATTCGATCCCCGGTACACAAAAAAAAAAAAAGAAAAGAAAGAAAAGAGTAACTCCAATTTCTTTATACTCTCCCAAAAAATTAAAAGGAAAGAACACTTCCATGTTCATTCTATGAGGCCAATATTATCCTAATGCCAAAGCCAGATAAGAAAATGGCAGAACAATATCCCTGATGAATACTGACACAAAAATCCTCAACAAAATATTAGCAAAATAATTCAACAATACAGTAAAAACATTATACACCATGACCAAGTTGGGTTTACTCCTGGAAAGGTACAACACATGAAAGTCAGTAAGGCCAGGCACAGTGTCACACACATATAATCCCAGCACTCTGGGAGGCTGAGGCAGAAAGATTGTAAATTCAAGCCCAGTCCAGGCAATTTAATAAGTTAGTGAGACCTACTCTCAAATAAATAAATAAATAAATAAATAGGTCCGGGATGTAGCTCAGTACAAAGGCGCTGGGTTCAATCCCCAGTATACACATACAACCACACACACACACACACACACACACACACACACACCAGTGCAATCACATTAACAGAATGAAGAGCAAAAACCAAAATGGCAGAAAGAGCATTTGATAAGATTCAATACTCCTTTGTGATAAAAACATAGAAGACATAGAATAGAGGAAAACTATTTTGCCATAATAAAGGCCATATATGAAGAGCCTATAGCTTATGGTGAAAGACTGAAATCTTCCTTTAAGATCAGGAATGGGGCAAAGGATGCCTGCTTTTGCCACTTTCATTCAACCCAGTACAGGAAGTGCAATTCTAAGAACTAGACAAGAAAGAAATAAGAGGCATTCAAACTGTAAAGGAATAAAATGA